TGGTTGAGAGGCGTAATCGAACCTTGCTAGACATGGTTCATTCCATGATGAGTCGTGCTTCACTACCTATCTCATTCTGGGGGTATGCCTTAGAGACTGCCGCCCATATCCTTAACTTAGTCCCTACGAAGAAGGTTGCCAAAACACCCCACGATATGTGGACAGGGAAAGCTCCCTCGTTGGCACATATCAAGGTTTGGGGTTGCGAGGTTTTCGTAAGATGAGAGACTCACGACAAGCTCGAACCTCGTAGTGAGCGATGTATTTTCATCGGCTACCCGCATAAATCCTTTGGATATCTCTTCAATAGACCGAGTGACAATGTTGTCTTCGTTGCGATGAGAGGGGTTTTCCGAGAGCGAGAACTCATAAGCCAAGGAGACAGTGGGAGGAAAATCGATCTTGAAGAGCTTCAAGAGTCGAACGATGAAGGAACCTCTAACACTGGCGCTCAACCCGAGGAGGAAACTCCGGTTGACCCGATTGACGAGTCCTTACCTCTTAGACGTTCCGAAAGAGTTAGTTAGTGATAGTGCACTAGTGAATCTGGACGAACCTAACAGCTAGTGAATCTGGACGAGTCCATATCACCACAGAAGGGGATACGTTCATTAGTGATAGTGCACTAGTGAATCTGGACGAACCTAACAGCTATAAGGAAGCCATGGTAGGCCCGGAGTCTGCGAAATGGAAAGAGGCTATGGACAGCGAGATTCGGTCCATGTATGACAACCAAGTTTGGAATTTGGTTGACAATGTACCAGGTCGTAAGACGGTCGGGTGCAAGTGGATCTTCAAGAAGAAGACTAACGTGGATGGAAATGTGCACACTTATAAGGCGCGATTGGTTGTGAAGGGTTTCACTCAAACTCCTGGAGTTGACTACGATGAAACCTTCTCACCAGTTGCGAAGATAAAGTCTATCAGGGTGATGTTAGCCATTGCTGCGTTTCATGACTATGAAATATGGCAAATGGATGTCAAAACCGCTTTCCTTAATGGGAAGTTGGCTGAGGATGTTTACATGGCTCAGCCATAGGGTTTTGTCAATGCGAAGCATCCAAATAGAGTGTGTAAGCTTGAAAAGTCCATTTATGGACTTAAGCAAGCGTCTCGCAGATGGAATCTTTGTTTTGACGAGAAGGTCAAAGAGTTTTGGTTTTCTGCGAAGCGAAGATGAATCATGTGTATATGTCAAAGCCAGTGGGAGTGTAGTAAGCTTTCTCGTATTGTATGTAGACGACATACTACTCATAGGAAATGACATCCTGACACTGCAGGAGGTTAAGTCCTGGCTCGGGAAGTGCTTCGCTATGAAGGACCTCAGAGAGGCTTCCTATATTCTGGGAATAAGGATAGTGAGAAACAGAAGTAAGAGACTAATAGGACTTAGTCAGAATACTTACTTGGACAAGGTACTAAAACGTTTTAGTATGGAGAATTCAAAGAAAGGGGAATTACCAATCCAAAGTAATGCCAAGTTGAGTAAGACTCAGAGTCCGAGTACTGAAGTCGAGATAGCAGAGATGAGCCGAGTACCCTACGCTTCCCCAGTTGGCTCAATCATGTATGCTATGACTTGTACTCGACCTGATGTGGCCTTCGCTTTGAGCATGGTCAGCAGATATCAAGGGAACCCTGGAAAAGCACATTGGATCGCAGTCAAGAATATTCTTAAGTACCTTCGGAGGACCAAGGAATGGTTTCTAGTCCTCGGTGGGAGTGATGACTTAAAGGTGCAAGGGTACAGAGACGCCACTTTTCAGACCGACAGGGACAACTACCGTTCGCAGTCGGGCTGGGTCTTTACCCTTAATGGAGGTGCAGTGACTTGGAAAAGTTCCAAACAGGAGACAGTAGCTGATTCAACGTGCGAATCAGAGTACATCGCCGCAAGCGAAGCGTCAAAGGAGGCAATATGGTTAAAGAACTTCATTGGAGACCTTGGAGTTGTGGCAGCCATAAAGGAGCCCATGGAAATTTTCTGTGATAATGAAGGAGCGGTTTCCTTGACCAAGGAACCAAGAGATCACGGTAGATCTCGACATATCGACAAAAAATATCACTTTATTCGACATCGAGTGGAAGAAAGACTCCTCGTAGTAAAGAGGGTATTGTCAGAGGATAACCCAGCAGATCCGCTTACGAAGGGATTGAGCAGGGTTAAGCACTTGCAGCACGCTAGGAGCATCGGGCTGAAGGACGATATTAGTTTAGATTAGATAGTTTAGAAACGTGTAATAGGTAAATTGTAATTAACATTTGATGATTAAATAAAAGAGTATTATTTATTAGTAATGTTACTGTCTTATGTTAATCATTTACCTATTGTTTCATTTTGCATGTTTTGACTTCCTGAATAATTGAATTATTTGATAATAATCGAATTATTCGAACGGTCCACAGTCGTTCATATGTTGGAAGTAGATATGAATGAAGACTGTCATGAATTGGAGTGTAGAATGTCTAAAATGTATTAGACATAGCAAAGGTTTGCTACAACGTTCATGAGTGCTTATGAACTTGATTTGAGCATTGGAATAAACCCACGCTTCCTGGAATCACTTCATGGAATTCAACACGAGTGATCGCAAGACGGTAATATCATATGGTCTTAAAAACCTAGATATATGATTTATTGTTTGCTAGTTGGTTGTGCATTGATAATGCATAAACGCATCAGTAACTTGATGTTATAAAACACATTGTTATGTATGATTTGATTAGTGGATAGTAAATGCATATAAGTCGAAGTTTATCTGTTCCTTTTATCCTAAAAGGGTAAAAGCGATATCAGGGCCCCTCGATGATTTGATTTGAATTATGTGTCAGGCCCGATCAGGACTGAATTGATGTGTTCAATTAAGTTCTATGTCAAATGAATCTGAGATCGAGAAACAAATTGCTAGACAATAAGTATGACTATGTTCCATGTAATTGTCCGCACGATATCTAGAACAGAGGACTATATGATCCCTTATCTAAAGGACAGGTTGCTGATGAGATCAGAGTTCGACAGCGTCTTTGAGAGCTACGATTGCTAATCGGAATATGCTTACATTATAGTTACTAGACTTATCCAAGTGGGAGACTGTTGGATTAGTGTCTAAGCCCGTAACTATATTTGGTAAGTACTTGACCCGGTTGTGCATGGTCCTTCTGGGTTGCCTTCACCAAAGCAACATGATAGGATGATTTATATATAAAGAGGTTATTATGATTTATTAATATATTATATGATTAATATATTAAAGGAAAATCATATAGTTTAATTAATATTAGACAATAATTAATTAAGAATTAATTTTATGGCTAAAAGAGATTAATTAAATAAAGGGGACTAGAACTGTCAATTGTGTGATAGTTGGTTTTGGGTTTTGGATCCTTATGGATCATAGGGTGGACGAAAATTAAGGTGTATGGACTCCTTGAATTCGTCCAAGCCCTAATCTAGAAGGATCCTTGGACTGCTTAAGGCCTAAGTAATCCAATTAGGGTTTCAGGCTGTAACCCTAGCAGCTCAAGTATTTAAAGAACCCAGTGGCTATAAAAATCGGCTACCAGAAACCCTAAGGAGTTCCTATAGCCGATTTTGTGTCCTCAACCTCTCTCCATATCATCCTCTTGCTAGTTAGTGTTTGTAAGCCATTAGAGGAGTGACAATTGTGACTCTAAGCTCAAAGACAAGAAAAATCAAGCAAGCTATAAAAGGTAATCATCTAGATCTGAGTTTCTTATATCAAAGTTGAATTGTATACACTAGATCTAGGATTTGCAAGACTTGGATAAATTGCATGTTCAATTAGAGAAACCTAGATCCAAGCATTAGGGTTTGCATGTGCACATAGGAAAGTTCTTATGGCTCAAACCCATCAATTTCTTCATCAACATTTCCCATTTAAGAATCTTATAAGTGTCATTTAATCCTATGAGTAACTTAATCATCCAAGTATTTGTTAACACATGAACAATCATGAATTCCTTGAACGATGCAAGCTTCATCGTAAATCGTTATTAATTTGGTAAAATATCTTTAAATAATTAGATCCTTAGGACAATGAGTATAACTTTTGTTGAATATGATAGATGAGAGTGCGATAAGATTGTTCATAACGATGATTTAGCTCTTTCATATCATGAGCCATTTAAAGGAATAGAACGCTTTCAACTATGTTCCATAAACGATGGTGAGCTTGTTCTTTTATACAAAGTGTGATGATCATCGGTCTCTTCTAAGCCAAGAATCCAATTCCGGTGAATACATTCTAGATTAGAACCATAGTTGGATTAATATAAAATGATATAATGTAAAAGATGTTAGAAATTAATATCAAAAGGGAATTGCAATCAGAATCAGATATGATGAAAAACAAATTGAATCAATATGATGAAGAAAGTAACAAAAAAATGAAGGAGATTGAAATGAATGAGAATGAACTTGAATCAATTTTGAGATGAAATCGGAAGGAATTGATGTGGAAGAATGGATCGGTAAACTAGTACCATGTTAGATTAGAGAGAGAGAGAGAGAGAGAGAGAGAGAGAGAGAGAGAGAGAGAGTGAGTTTTGCAATCTTCTTCTCTTCTTCTATGTATTGAAACGATCAACTACTATACATATATGTACATCAACAAACCTAAAACAAATTGCAAAAAATAACTAAATTTACAATATTAATAGTGAAATTACTAAAGTGGCATCATGAACAACTAACTTGACAAACTATGAAATGCACATGATAGACATGTGACAAGTAGCTTGATTAACAACACATATTTACATCATACACCAATATCCATTGATCACCACCACAAGTAATAAATTTCTAACTAGAATCGTCAATACAACTCCTGATCAAGCTTTAACAACTAATATTGAGTCACCTTCGTGCTTCATGTTATAGACGATTCGTTTATAACTTAAACTTCTAAAGAGAAAAATGTAGGAACAGCTCAAGAAAAAGTTACATAGTTGCAAAGAACACAAACTAAGGGTCTCTACTAGTCAATGTGGACCCAAATACCGTGTCCAGGAACTCCAAGGCGATTGACAAACATCATATAATACCCAGGAGGCGCAATCTTTCCACATGGTGGCGCAAGCGCAGTAATCACATTATTATTAATCTCCTTTATCGTTGGAACGATCAACCTCTGATTTTGAGAGAAACCATGAGTGGTGAACGGTGGGTATATCAAGGTTATCTTAGCCTCACCTGGCTGCAATACTATGTTACTTTTAAATTGAACTGTAATCTTAAAGGGTGCTCGATACTTTAAGACCTTATCAGTAGTGGGTTCGATGATTGTGGGCCTATCCTTGTCAAGTGCACGATCTAAGTAATGAGGGGAGAATTTCTCTACCCTCAACTCCGTTGGGAATGGGACATTGAATGTGTAGAATTGGTTCGGGTTGCTGCCAGCGACCAAGATCCTGGTGTCTGGCAACAATGCTGAGGTGGAATGATACATCCTGGCGATATTTGTAGGTTTCATTTCCCTAAACCTTTTCCCCATACGCTTGAATGGAGTATATAAAACCGGGGCAAAGTTAGGATCTATGGCATCATCCCATGCAGCAGTACCCTTTTTGGCGCCATTGATCATGAGGAGATCGCCTGTGGGAAGGTGTAGAAGGTCACCCATGACCCTCGGTGTTGGCATATCTTGTTCGTTCTCCCATTTTGCACCTTTATTCATGGGATGAATTCTATGACAGTCTTGTAACGCAGGTACAAACACCTTGTCTTTGACATGCTTTGCATCAACCATTTCAAATGCGGTGTGCTTGTTGCCACCACAAACAACGACCTCAACGTTTAGAGGAAATAAGTTATCTGGACCTAGCTTGAGTGGAAGAAGAGCAGACATGCCAGACGCAGGGTAGTTGCGGGCACCACCTGGAAGAATTGGATGCTCTACATAAATCTGTCCTGTGCGTGGATTTAAGTTCATGGACCTGTCATTGGCGAAAAGGAATATATTGCCGTCTGGAAGTAAGTAAACAAAGGGGTATAAGTTGTTCTCGATGAATCTGTTTGGCCCCTTGGGGGGGTGTGCATGTTTCTTTGAGAAATGGGAAGTCGATTTTCTTAGGTTGGAAGTTAAGTGATGGTGGCACGACCTCAATGCTGAAGGCGTCCCGACCCCCCACCAATACCGCGCTCCCATCTTCCAAAACCTGGTTAGATGCATACCTGTGATTGATTCTATTCCATTTCATTATTCATACATGAATATACATTTTATAGTTCAAGATTGTTTAAAGTATAAACAATCGGTAATCTTTTGTACATACCATCGATAATCAGCAAGCACATTTCTTTTTTCGATGAAGTTTGCTTTCAGATCATCTTTAGGCAGCATTCTTACAGCTTTGACACCAGTAAAGGTACCTCCGGTAGCCACAAGATTACCATTAGGCCATAAATTTCCCGACGAACACCATGGTTCACCTGACAACTGTAATAGACATAATGCATGCAAACTGCTCAATTGTAAATTTCTCATATAGACGGGTTATTAATTAAACAAATGGAATTATAGAAACATACCACAATGGTTCTACTAGTTCCGGTTTTCCAGTTGTATGCAAGAGCGTGGGCAAAGCAATCTGGCTTGTTGTTCATATCTGGGTTAGGCGGGCAGTTTCCTGGGGGATCCAATTTTCGAGCAGATGGCCCAAGTGATGTGGTATCAAACCAAACGACCTGATCGTTAGGCATCAACTGCAGTTGCATGGCACCCACACCAACGTTTGGATTATCGAGTACCCATTCTCCCCTGAATTTGGTCGAGATTTCTGGCATTGTGTAATCGGCTCCACCATCTTTGACACGTTTGTTACGGTGTGCGCCACCAGCTAGGCGGTCTCGGCGGCCGGCAAATCCAGAAAATACAAAAAATTGAAGAAGGAAGAGAAGAACGTATGTCTTGAATAATGAATACATTATTGGAGCGTTTTTAGTTTTTACATTACCATCATTTCATATCCTTTATACTTGAATTATGTAAAATATTTGTGGTTAATATACAATGAGAATCTTGAGTAATTAAAACCGTTACTAAGTATAGCTTAAGGACATTATTAAAAGGTACATAATTACTTATTGATTGACCTTAAACTAATTGTTGTTGAACGCCATTTTCTTTGAACCATGAGTTCTATTTTTTTTTCAAAATTTATTGCAACTGTACATCAAAGATACATAATTTTAGTTTCGTAATGGGTTTATAATTAAGCATTCGGTTGATAAAAAAGAAGTAACTAGTGCAATGATACAATATGGGATGAGAAATTAAATATCATTCTACCTTTTGATGGCAAGTATACAAATTTAAAATCTCAATCAAATTTAAATTAAATTTAATGATACATGTTACCATCTAAAATATGTGGGAGGATATTAAGAACAAAAAGTAAGAAGAATTTCTAAACATGGATAGAGTCCTGATGATATAAAACTACAATACACATGCATAATTAAATAAATTAACTAACAAAAATAGTGCAATACATCAACTTCAACATCATTAATCATGATCAGTAACATCATACTCATAACATACATCATAAATACAACGGTTACGGTTCAAGACCATATAATTCTTAAAAGTGATTTCAATATTTGACTTGATGGGTATTGCATCAATCTAGCCAACCTTAAACATCAACTAGTTTCATGGCACCCACACACCCGCATTCGGTTCCAGTTGTCCATTCACCAATACAAATTGGTTTCAATATTTGGCTTTTAAATCCAGGGCCACCGCCTATATCCTGGTGGCAAGGATGGAAGATTTAAACAGTCAAGGAGAAGGTGGAGGACGATGTATTGAATAGCAAAATCATTCTAGCAATAAATAAGTCAGTATGTACGTTGTGATGTTTTCCTAGATAACCAATATTGTTGCCCCTTGTATATATATACGTGAATGAGCTAGAACTTTGCGGTCAAAATACAAGTGAAATTCTTACACTAACGGTTTCTCACGACAGTTATTGGACATTATACTAGTGTAAAAACTCAGCTATGTTTGCCTTTTAGTTTATTGGATCCTGAAAACTCGGGCTTCAAGTGTATTTCTATATATACTTGATTTACTTGGTCAATGCACATTAACGCACTAACATCTTAAGGGCTATTGTATTTATGTTACAACATTTCAATACCAATTTCAGACGTTGAGTTGAATAAGTTTTTCGTTTCTTTTTGCTTCGTCATTTCTTTTTGCTGCACTTAAATTACCTATTATGATTCTTAGAGCATCCGCTATGGTAAACAATTAGGGGTAAAAAAAAACTATGAAGTGGTCCCACTAGATTACTTGCATGGTAGGGATTGAGGCCTATTAGTATGCCCTGATTCAAACCCATGTCCATTATATATATATATATAGATATATATATATATATATATATATATATATATATATATATATATATATATATAGGGTGAGATTCAATAGAAAACCATAATTAACCAAGGAACCAATCTTTTTTTCAACTTTTAGAACTTATTTTTTATCAAACAAAAACTAAAAAACTAAAATTTATAACTAAAAAAAAAACTATCATATTCTCAAAGTTTTCATCACTTAATATGGACCGTACATCTCTATACTCAACTTTCCATCTACGATCACATAACTAACAACTATACCACTAATGTTGGTCACACCATAAGCCTAAAACTGAAAACTGAAAACTCAGAACCCTTAAGGAAGCTATTTTCCAAAATATCATACAATGTTTGTTATTTGTAATAACATATTTCTGAATACAAAAAAGCATTTTACTTAATTGGAAACATACAAAAAAGCATTTTACTTAATTCTTTGCAGGTATAGGAAGGAGTGATGAATGAGTCTCTTCTAGCCCAAGGTTGATGAATGACTCTCACATCCTTCTATTATCATGACATGCATTTGACCTCTTAAAGTTCACCTGTAGTGACCAATGTGATATCTTGTGCAAACAAAAATTATATAAGGGGCTAACATTATCATTTAGTCTTTAAATTGTGTTTGACAACAATGACTATTTTTTCTTTAGTTTTAGAAGAAAAATGATTATTAACCTTAAATAAGTTAAAAGTCTACCACTTTATAATTCGTGTCATCATTTTGTCGTATAAGTTCGCATCATGATAATATTAATAATTAAAGAGAGATTATTTTATTAAGCATCAAGCGAACAAATGAAAGTCTTAATCAAGATTACCCGTGCCTCCAAAAGTTATGTCCCGACGCATCAAGGGGTCGTTGTTTATAAATAGTTAGAAGATGTTGCAGTACATCAAGGGATTGATTACGTCATTTGCTTCTTCTAAGAAATAATGGTTATTTTAAATTTTGTTGAATTCCTTTTCACGATATTTTTTCATCGTTGCTTTTCTAAATTGTGTTACATTGAATTTGGCTCACAATCTAATTTTTGATTTCTTCTTGGTAAAAACAACTCTAGAAAGAATAAAACGTGTCCTACACTTGAATTAAATATTCTTTGATGAGCAAATATTTACTTTTACCGAAACTTTTTGAAAATAAGTTGATTTTCTAATCCAAATTTGTATGGATTTTTTTTGACAGTTTTGAACAAGTACTTATATCATTATTTCCAATGATATAAGTACTTATATCATTAATACTTATATCATTAATATATAATTAATATATATATATATATATATTGACCAACAACTATTATATTGAATGGACGAAAATACTTTATAAGTATTCTTATGTATTTTTACTTGTTAAAAAATTCTCTTATCGGATACGTTCATTGGAAATAATGATATAAGTACTTGTTCAAAACTGTCAAAAAAATCCATACAAATTTGGATTAGAAAATCAACTTATTTTCAAAAAGTTTCGGTAAAAGTAAATATTTGCTCATCAAAGAATATTTAATTCAAGTGTAGGACACGTTTTATTCTTTCTAGAGTTGTTTTTACCAAGAAGAAATCAAAAATTAGATTGTGAGCCAAATTCAATGTAACACAATTTAGAAAAGCAACGATGAAAAAATATCGTGAAAAGGAATTCAACAAAATTTAAAATAACCATTATTTCCTTAGAAGAAGCAAATGACGTAATCAATCCCTTGATGTACTGCAACATCTTCTAACTATTTATAAACAACGACCCCTTGATGCGTCGGGACATAACTTTTGGAGGCACGGGTAATCTTGATTAAGACTTTCATTTGTTCGCTTGATGCTTAATAAAATAATCTCTCTTTAATTATTAATATTATCATGATGCGAACTTATACGACAAAATGATGACACGAATTATAAGGTGGTAGGCTTTTAACTTATTTAAGGTTAATAATCATTTTCTTCTAAAACTAAAGAAAAAATAGTCATTGTTGTCAAACACAATTTAAAGACTAAATGATAATGTTAGCCCCTTATATAATTTTTGTTTGCATAAGATATCACATTGGTCACTACAGGTGAACTTTAAGAGGTCAAATGCATGTCATGATAATAGAAGGATGTGAGAGTCATTCATCAACCTTGGGCTAGAAGAGACTCATTCATCCACTCCTTCCTATACCTGCAAAGAATTAAGTAAAATGCTTTTTTGTATGTTTCCAATTAAGTAAAATGCTTTTTTGTATTCAGAAATATGTTATTACAAATAACAAACATTGTATGATATTTTGGAAAATAGTTTCCTGAAGGGTTCTGAGTTTTCAATTTTCAGTTTTAGGCTTATGGTGTGACCAACATTAGTGGTATAGTTGTTAGTTGTGTGATCCTAGATGGAAAGTTGAGTATGGAGATGGTACGGTCCATATTAAGTGATGAAAACTTTGAGAATATGATAGTTATGCCCTTTCATACATATATTCAAATGGCTATTCTAGTTATCTTATGGGTTCATCTGTAACATGTTTCAGTAATCCGTTTTCCAATATCTGAAGTATGATGTGGCAAAATCCGATTGGATTTGACCGAATCAAACCACATTCTCAAATATCGATCCGATTGTCATTCAGACTGGTTTAAGATATAACATAGATACAAATCAAATTGGACAACCAACTTGTCGTGCACCTCTAGGTAAATAATTATGTTTATACTTTTTTTTTAAATTGGCTATATGCAAAGAAATTATTTAGTTTCAGTTATATATAATACCATTTATTCATGTTTTTAAATATAACGTTGTAACTTTAAGTAGGCAATGGTATGTTCTTAATGGGGTAATTTAAAAATATATATTAGATCATGAAAAAAAATACATGTAAAAGATTGGATGAAATAATACCCAAGAACAATTTAAAACAATTTTGTTTTATGAATTTAATCCAACGATTTTAAAAATTGTAATAAATCACACTTAAATCATATTCTATCAGTAATTAGTTTACTGTGATTTAAAATTGGTCAATCCGAAGAAAAAAACAAAAACAAAAGCATGTATACTAACTCTTAGTAAATGTCTTTTTTTTTCTTTAGTAAATGTCTTTTTGTTTTCTAACTTTAAATTAAAATCATAGTATTATTAGCAATATGTTGTAAAACAAATTTTATATATAAATGTTTTATTTTTAATATATGAAATCCTAGTGAATAACAGAGTTTCCTAATTCAAATTAAAAATCATTATTCGTTAATTATGTCCTATTTATTTTAATTTGGGTTGTTTTAAAAATTATCAATCATTGAATTCAAATGCTAAGATGTATAAGGTTAGGGATAATGACTTAAAAGGGTAATATATTCTTCGATTTGTACACATTTGGTCACTGAATTTATTTTTTGTTCACATTTACCCCTTCAACTTGTTAAACTGTACACATTCAGTCGTTATGACCAGTTATTTCAGGTTAACCGGTAAAAATGTCTTAATAGGGTAATATATTTCTCATTTTGTATACATTTAGTCAGTAATATTTTTGTACACATTTAGTCCTTAATATTTTTGTACACATTTAGTCCT